ATATATATATATATATACATATATATGTTGCATGCGCGCAAGCGTGCTTTTGTGAATTTAAGAATTTAGCGAGTCCCTCGCAAACGGCTGTGACAAACTTATCTAACTGGATCAACGTGTACTGCGTTCACCTTGCCTGTGTGTCTTTCAAGCAGTCTCACCTTCCGAAGGACACACAGACAAGCGCATAATTCGTGCCGAGAAAGCGGAACTGGCAGACATTGCTGCTTCTATGGTTTGCTCTGATCTACTCTTTCAGTTTGCACTTGAGCAACACGAGGCTGGTCATCGTGGGATTCCGCCAAGCCCGCATGTTCGCTTAGGCAGTTCGCCTGGCAGGTACCGCGTTTGTCGTTGCCCTCGGACGACTCAAGAAGGGCCGGTACCTTCTAACTTGTCCTCCCTTCCTTGTTCCTCATCCGTTTTTAGCTGTAGTCCGTCGCGATGCTTTCTGGGCGGCATGTCTTTCAGCCTCGAGCGGCTTCCGCGTCTCGGTAGCTCGGGCGCCGGAATCCTCTCCGCCTCCGCCTCCTCCGAAGCCCAGGGCTCGAGTTCCGTTTCGGGCGTTTCGCTGGCCTCGCCACTTTTCGAGCCTACACCCTCCTCCGCGTCACCGAATCATGTAGGCCTATTGGTCTGGTACAATCTGCTCGGCGCCGAGGCGGCCAGACGACGCCACATGCCTGTCGTGGCGGGTGTCGGCAAGGCCCTGCAAACGGCCGACAAGCCACGTGGAGCCCTGGCAACCTCGAGACAGGCTAACGAGACTGCGCCCAGACGTCTCTCCCTGACACCAGGCAACAGCGTGGATGCATCAATGTCTTTCGACTGGGGCGGAGATTCACCTCTCAAATGTGCTGCAGCCTCGAACTCCGCTTTCCACCCACCTCGCTCTTCTCCTCCTCCTCCACCATCGTCATTGTCACCAACACCGCCACCGTCACCGTCACCAATGCCATCGTCAACACTACTTCAGGCACCACTTTCTTCTGCAAATCCGTCTCCGACAGAGACTCCACAGCCCATCGCAGTCGCTACTGGCTTCCCGCTCCCCTCTCAGGAGCCAATACACTTGACCGTGAGTTTTCACTACCTTTTACCCGTAGACCATTTGTTTTATGCAACGCTGGGACATGTTTTTCCCGAGTTGAACTGGGACAACAATCAGGAGCTAGACCGGGTGAATATGGTCCTTCTAGTCAGCATAATTTTTACAGTCTATTGGCTCTTCTAGATACATTCTCGACTCCGTAGCGCTCCATCTCCAGGAAGGCGACTTGTAATCGACACATTCGTCAATATGGTAATTTTAGGATTACTTGAGAAACTTGTCTTTTGCATCGAGAATACATTCATGGAAGTTGAATTCGTACAACTTTTTCCATATTTCTGACTAGTTCGCTGTGGGTTGGATGATACTTCTCAAACTGCTGAGTTTCGCATTGCTACCACAGGCAACCGGGCAGCGTTGCTCTACTCTCTCTTTCTTCAACACCGCACACCCACTCACAGCTCCACCGGTCCTGTGTTCCACTACTCCCTTCTGTATCCGCCACAAAATATTGAACTTTTTAAAAGGTTGACGATCCATGTCAATCGGAGGGGTGGCCACGAAATGCGTTGTGAATCCTTACACTTTTGCATCACGGCCACTAACCTGATGTTTCTTTATGCATGCTACCCAAAATACAGCTGATGTATATTCGTATGAAAGTAGAGTTTCATTACAGCTGATTTTCCTGACTGCATCAGACTCGACAAATCCAGATCCAAAATGGTAGCTTGCATTGAAGGTGATGCTGAAACTCGAAAAGAAATTTAGTTGTATGTCTGTATGGAATAGTTTTTGGGCGCAACGCGGTAATATTTTCATCGGGACTGGCTTATCTCGTTATAACCGATAAATAATATATTTCTATTAGTTTATTCCGTTATTTATTTATATTTGCTTATCTTATGTCCAGTTTGTTTAATCCCTCTTTGCCTGTTGATTTCTTTCTGTCCTATTGCCTCTGTACGACTGTCTAGCAATCATCTTTTGTGCATGCTAGTCTCGAAAATCTACTTTTAATAAATGCAATCATGCATAGTTGCAG